AGCAAACCAAACCTTTTGAAATTCCTAGAAACTCAATTTCGAAAGTTTATATATAATATCATTGTAGGAAAATAAAGCTACAGTTTTTGTAAAACATTTGAAACACATTTTTTTTTTTGCTAAATGATTAATTGGAACCACTTTTCGTTTTGTTTACAACACGTTTTAGTAAATCCGAATGGATATCACGTACATTTTGTGGGGTTTTTCTATCAATGTCCAACTCTTCCCATTAGTATGATATTATTCGATTTGGACCTAGAGACAAAGCCTACACGAATTTATTCTTGGACTCCTTTCCAAAAGGTCTCATACTAATTAGAGTTAGACATTTCTTATATATTAGACAATTCTTGTGTAAACTTTCGATGTGGAACTTGGATTGATATCCCAACAATCCTCCCCTCAAACCAAGGACCACATAGACCTATGTCCTCCCACCTCCAGCGAATATTGGCACCCATCTTGTACCGCCGTAATCACTAACGGAACCCGCTGCCTAACCTTCCGCTTAGTTAGGAAGACTTTCGACACAAGGCACCGACACCCTTTAATCGCGAGGTCACCGTGAGGGCTCTCCTCCCACAACGAACTTGCAGCCCACACCCACTTCTCCTTGTCCACCTTTTTTGATCATGAGCTCTGATACCAATTGTGGGGCTTTTCTAGCACATGTCCAACTCTTCCCATTAATATGATATTGTCTGCTTTGGGTCTAGAGGCAAAGTCCGCACGGATTTGTTCTTGGACTCCTTCCCAAAATGCCTCATACTAATTACAGTTGGACATCTCTTATATATTAGACAATTCTTGTGTAAACTTTCGATATGGGATTTGGATTGATATCCCTACACATTTAAATAGATTTACTATTTTGGAATTATCGATTTAATATTTTGAAAGTATTTGTGTTTAGCGTTAATTGTAAAATGAAACATATCAAATTATTATGGGAAAATTAGAAAAAAAATACTTTTTGACCATACTTTTGTCAATCTAAACCTTTATTTTAAAAGTTTGAAAGACTAAACCTTTAACTAATATTTATCCTATTCTATCTTTAATATAATAAAAATGCTAAACAAACTTTTTTTAATTTTCCCATGTATGTATACCATCAACATAAATATTGTATCGATTCAGGTTACGTCTTCTAGAACATGTAAA